TTTATCACAAATTTTGTATGATTTCAACTCATTAATTTTTTTAGTTAAAATATTCATTGATTTTTTTTATATATATGTTTGTAAACAGGTATATAGAGAAAAATACAAAATAATTTCCTATTAGGAAGTATCAGTAATCTTAGTAATTAAAATCGGTATTAACAGCATTACTTAATAAATAGTATCTTACATATGTTTTTTACAAGTTATGTACCATAGCTTGAGTAAATGACATAAAATTAAAGCGGGTTTCTTGTATCAACAAAACACGAAGTACACAATGTTTATTTATTTAGGGGGTGATGATGGTGTCATTATTGCGGTATACTAAATTTGGATACATTTTTGTACATATACCATAGGTTTAGATTGTATATAACAAGTATTTACTTCTGTTTTACTTGGTTTTTTAGTTAAATATATTGCTGAAGCTTTTCTATACATTTCCTCAGCATGTATACTTATGTGGCACTTCTCATATTTTAGATATATAATTCAAACTTAAAGTAATATGATATTGGATAAATTATTTTTCCATATTGAAAATTCATATTTGGGAAGAATCTATTTATTTTGCATAAAATTATGAAGTAAGTTTGGAAAAAAACTTAGAATTATATTATTATTATAATATAAATTATTAGAATACTTAGATGTATATCACGCTTTAATAGTGAAGAAATTGAGGTAAGAAACGATGTTTTTACCACAATGTAATGTATCAAATGAAGGTATCAAATAAGCGAATAATTTATAGCAAAAGATAAGAAGGAATAAATTTATTAAAAATTTTATAATATATATTTGTGGAAATAGATTCCAAAATTTTAGTCTATTATTGCATGATTAATTTTTTTTTTAATATAATATTTTTTTTATTAAATTAAATTATAAAATTATTACCGTATAAAATATTTTGATTACCATATTTTAATTAGATAATTATTTATACGTATTCAATGTAGTCGAGTATACAGCAATTATTAGAATATTGGATTAATATAATCAAATATTTGTTTAATATTTTCTAAAAATTTATAAGAATAAATATGTTAGTTTGTTTGGTATTAATTTTATGGTTTTTTTTTAAAGTAAATGTATATTAAACTAAAATTTAAATATCAATAGATGGGAAGAAATTGTAAATGCTAATTTACAAGCTTATATATATATATATATATATATATCATTTTTAGAGAATATAACATATATGAACAAGAAATATAGTTTTTCATCATATCTAATATATGCAAGATCTCTTTAGTGATATCTAATGATGAAAAATTATTCATTTTATGAAAATTATGTTATTCATAATTATATAAAAATATTCATTAATATATTTTCATAAAATATTGTTTTGTTAGACTAATAAAGAATAAAATATCCTTTAAAAAATAAATTTATGGAATTTTGTAATATTAAGGTTATTTATGGAAGCAATTGTTTTTCAGAATTAATTTTCCAGTAATAATTTTTATATGTAAGAAAGAGGGAATTTGTATATTTTTTAATCCACAAATGAAGAGAGAGAGAGAGAGAGAGAGAGAGAGAGAGCGATAGTAATAATTATATATTTTCTAATTCACATTCGACAAGCATTTTCTAGGTTCTAATGAATGTAATAGTATATGTAATAGATATGCAAAGTAATGGCGTAAACCCTAAGCCGTATAATTTCTTTCAATTATTCTAATTAAATACATTAAGTCTAATTATTAAATCGATATCCAATAATTTAAATTAAAATTATCTAATAGAGAAATCATAAATTTTGCCATTTTGCATAATAAAAACTGAAATTATTCGATTTTCACAACCTTTAAATTATTCACATTTGTGAATTATTTAAAATAATTGTTTAAATATAATTTCCTATCTATTTTTTCCCATCTATTTTATTTAGTTCTAAAATGTATAAAATAATTTAGAAATTATATCTGGTGATTAGTTTATTCTTATTTTTATGCTTTAGTAAAAAATGGAAAATATGTAAATATTAAAAAAATATCACAAAACAACAGAAAGATATATTGTCTTAAATGTAAACTAAAATGCCTAACGTTAATAAGATTTGGAGAGTCAGTGATGCTCTTTTTTTTCGTTACAAACTTTGACCAGAGAAAATGCAACCGCTGGAGATTTGCTCGAGACTCTGGATTCAAGGTTGGTACTGCGGCGAAACCTCGAAACTTTGGTCGAGTGGTACCCCAGCATACATATGACATCGAGAATCGGCTTTGCTGAGAAAGGTAGTCGTCTCGTCTTGTGCGCTCGCGGCCTCAATCCCTGCTGTGGAATGAGTACTGCTGTGCATTCGCTCTTGTATATGTAACTGGGGGGGGGGGGGGGGCTTGCGCGGTATCACACTAGCGAATAACAAATGATTTCAATTATTATTTTGCCCTCTTAAAATTCTACAGCTAAGCCATATATATCTTTTATGGTACTGGACATACGTTTTCGGTATTAGAGCGACTACTTGAAAAACGACTAGCTCGTTCTGATATAAACGGCTTACTACAGGCCTACCGAAACCGAAATATAGCTTTTATCTTTTATTTTAGCTTACTTCGACCTCGTACGCAATCTTCTCGTTTCCTACATCGCCGTCTTGCGACTATTGCCATCTTTTTTTCCTTCATATCTATCTAACCATTCTTCGATGTTAGATATCAATAAGATTTGAAAAAGTATATATTTAACAAATCGCAGTTTCTATAAATATTTTTTTGTAATTTATATAAAAGTATTTTCATAAAGTCGGTCTATCTTGAATTACTAAAATATGCTTTTCAAACTGAATTGTTAAGTTGAATATAAATATTTTTGATTCTATGTATTATTTTTGGTACTGATTTATATTTGTTTAATTAAGAAGATTATAATATTAGTGATTTAATTTTATACTTTATACATTGAAGATAGAATATATTAGAATATAAAGAATAAATATTAAAATATATAATAAAATAAAAAATTGTTAAATAAAATATTGTTTGTTTTTTTTTTAAAGCAAATTGAACATAAAATAAAACAATACCTATTTTATTAATTTAATTTCTAAAGCTTGTAAGTCGTTCATTTTTCAGTCTTCATGAAAGTTAACGAAGAAGGAACAACTAAATAAATGACAAAACAAATAAATTTTTTACATAACAATATATAAATATAACCTTGAATTTAGTAATTTAATTTCTAATTTTTGAATATTTTTTACACAATACTATTTGCTGTTTATCAAAAATTTAATAAAATCCATAATTACTTAATATAAATTTATAATTAAATATTTTCTGAATATGATCAATTTCTTTCTACTAATAATTCTGATGTATTGTGTAGCACAAAGAGTGACTTAAGCTGTAAAAAGTTTTAATAATTAAATAATTTTTATGCACGCTTTTATTTATAATAAATATAGTCATTGTATGACAAATATTTAAATTTCATTTATCTTTACAGCCTAAAATTATTTGAAAATTCCTAAGGGATTATAGAAGAGCTTATATGGTATAACACATAAAATATTTTTATTAAAATTATACTGATATTTAATTTAAAATTCAAAATATAATAAGATAAATATAATAGGTATAAGTAAGATAAACAAAATTTTTAGGCATAACTATTTTAATGATTCAAATAATAAAATAATTTTTAAATATATATAAATCTTTATTAATATTTAATATTTTATATTGATAATTTTATTTATATTTATAAAATGCAGTGTAATAAGCAAAATTTAACTAAAATTTGTAAATGATAATTTATCGCATTATACAACAATATATAAAAAGTCAAAACAATTTTTTAAAGTGAAATTAAGTAATAATTAATATTTCAAACCAACATTAAACCATATTATGCATTGCATTATTTGATATCAAACATAAAAAACTGAATACTCAATAATATATATTTTTATCAAATGTATAGTGTCTGGATATTTATTTTCTTTAATATGCTGCTTTATAAGAATTAGGTGTTAATAGTCTAATAGACTAATCATAGTGTTTTTAAAGGCTTACATACTTTTACAGACACCTGATTAGATAAATTAAGGAGCACACGTTTTTGTGATGCTCTGCTATATTCTTTCTTTCCTTTTCAAATTTTTACATGATTTACACACAACGAATCAGTATATAACCACAATAGTTCGTTGACTAACTAAAAATTAAGGGTGCTTGTATGTGGTAGAAACTTTATTTCGTGCTTTTCAGACTGACTTGCTTTTATATGCTCTCCCACCTCATACTGAGCACTACAGCCAATAGCAACTTCTATCTATTTTATACAATTTGCTGTATACTTTGCTTACTTATTGGCCATAACTTGTTCGCCCGCATCTTATATACATATATACATACGTATGAGCAGAACCACCCAAATAAAGTGTATCCAAGTAAAATAAATAAGAAGGAAGAATTTAGCATGAAAGAACGATAATAAACTTAAACGAAAATGTATATAAATAACCATTTATTTAGTAACAATATTTATAATTATGTACTGTTTACAAAAATAATACAATTTTACATAAGTTCGAATAAATATCAATAGGGTTTAAAATAAATTAAAAATTCATTTAAAAATAAATATTAACATATACATCATATTTCGATTAATTTATTTATTACGATTCTATCTAATATTATAAATTTCTTTATTATCAAGATGAATTTATAAATAAAACTTATTATTTCTTAATAATTTTTAATTAATTAAAATCATATACTTTTTTTTAAACATAAATTATCAATATAATTACATTTTAACCTTTGTATTTTTTGCTGTCTATATATTTATTTTGTGACTATCTATTTTACGCTTATTATGCATTATACTTAATAAACGATTATAAGTAAATTTAGATGAAAAGCTCAGCAAGAAATTATTGCTTAAGTTCCGCTAGGGTAGATAATAGTTTTAGAAAGAACGCTATAATTGCACTCGGCAGTAACGCAACTTTTTTGCTTTTTCTGTGTTTCCAGAGCATAGCGATAGAGATAGAGAGAAAGGGAGAGAGAGAGAGAGAGAGAGAGGAGGGAGGAGTACCCGAAGTCATCCGCGGAAGAATCTAGGAGCACGTCAATATAAATGACGTAAAAACGAAGATATCGGAAGCGACATCACGCCAACTTGTTGTCCCTTCTCTTTTTCCCTTTTCATCTTTACTCAATTTTCCCAAATTGTATTATTATTCCTATCCAAAATCTAGTCTATCTCAACCTCTCTCGATCTTATTCAGCTTATTATCGCTTTGTTGACCGCCGCTTCTGCGAGCACTCCAACTATCGTGTATACTCACATACATCTCAAGTGTTATATACGAACTATCCATCCTTCCAATTTTACTTTTCGGGATCCATATACCAGTGGCTAATTACTGTTTTCATTCCTTGGCTTCCCTTGGAACTTCCGTAATTTGTATCTCGCAATCACATACGCATTGCACTAATCAAAAGAAGCAAAGGGAGCGGCTGGTACAATTCAGCATCTCTGTTTTACTCGCTCGTACAGTCCTATTTTATAAGAGCAACAACATCAACTCAATGAGAAGATCAACTGTGAACCAAATTTACAAAGTTGGTATCTGAAGTATCAGCAACATTTCGCGAACTTGAATCAACCAGCCAGAGCCGCCCTGTACTTAGCTTGGAAAGCTTTCAGCGCTTAGCGGTCCAATACTCATAACGAGATAATTCCTAGCCGCGGCAGAGAATTGGCAGAAGTGGAAATACGACAAGAGGAAAAGGAAACGAGGGTCGCTGAAGGTACGGAGAGCTGCCGATAGTTGAATATGTGACGTGCTTTCTACTAGTAGACTTTTGCTTTTGTAAAATCGCGTCTTTATTACTTAATAATAAATAGAGTTTCTTTCGTATCAATGCTGCAACTTTTACGAGATAATTACAGTTACTGTGACTTCAAATTACGGTCTACAATATCTCTTTGATTACACTATTTTCATACATTATTATCTAAATAAATTAAACATCTAATTAAAGATAAAGGTCTTTCGATTAACAAATTTCATTAAGGTACTATATGTATATTGGTAAAAACCAGTCAAAGTAGTAGAAAAGTAAAAAAGTGATTTAATTAATGGGGTCGAGTTTCTTAGACGAGTTATTGAGAGTTCAGGTAATTGAAAGGAAGAATAAGTATTTATAATTACTAATTATAAGGCATTATAATTATTTTGAGAAAATATGTTTTTGAAATTAATAGAGTAAATTTTATCAAACAATCAGCATCAAATTAACATATTTTATAGTACCTCGTGAACTTTTTTATGAGAAGCTGCTTCGATTTCTGAATAATTTTTCTTTAATAAAAAATTCTATTTAAAAAAAAAAGAAAAAAATTTATTAGACATAAAAAAAATATTAGATATATTTATATCAAAAGATTGTAGTTTCGTGACAATTTTTTTTATCGGCAACAAAGAAAATGAGAATATGATTGCATAAATGAAACTTGAATGGAATTTAAACGAATGTATATTGAACCTTTACAACTAAGATCTTAATAATTACTATCTTTGCAATATATGAATTGAAAAGATAAACATCATCATCATCATCGGTACGAGTGAAATCAAGGGAGAATTCACAATAACCAGACGACAGACGGATAAAGCAGGAAGCCGAGGCAGCTTCTGATTTAAGGAAAGGTCTCCAGAGGACATGGCTATGGTCAACATGAATAATCTACTCAATGGCAAAGACTCACGGTGGTTGCAATTGGAAGTCTGCAGAGAGTTTCAACGTCAAAAATGCACCCGGCCGGACACGGAGTGCAAGTTCGCGCATCCGCCTGTTAATGTCGAAGTACAAAATGGACGAGTTACTGCATGTTACGACAGTATTAAGGTAATTTTTATTAATAATTAATTTTTTTCTAAACTGATATTTAATTTCCTTTTCTAAACAATATATCATACAATTATTCAAAACAGAAATGATAAAGTATATACATTCTTCATATTACTATAAATTGGTAATATTGATAAATTATCACAATTAAATTAATTATGCATTAATCATAACAAATTTACTTCTATAATCACAAAGAATTTTATACATTTTATACAACAATAAATTTTATTGTTATTTCAATAATTTTTCAACGAATATAATAATTTTTTATATTATATTTCAATTGAAGTATCAGCAAATTAATTTACCAGAATCATTCTTAGATGATTTAAAAAAACTTATAATGCAGTAAAATGAATTTTATATAAATTTCTATAGCAAGTTGATTAAAATTTTACATTAAAGCAAAAACAAAAATAGCTTTGATTCATAAGTTTGTTAAATGAAGTTATTAGTTTAGTTATATATTACAATTTCATTGTTTACTGAACATATAATCAATCATTTTTGCATTATACCAATTACGAAACGTAACATGTATATTTTGATAATATGAAGCAAAAATTTTTATCTGTACAAGTTAGCAAGATCAGTTATATTATAAATTTAATCAATTACAAAATGTTTGCGAAACCATTTTCATTGCATTATTTTATGTTTCATTGTAATATATATTTTTAATATTTTCAAATATCAATCAGATTTAACTTATTTCCATATAAATTGATTAGTTTTATTATTTACATGAATATAAGAAGCATGATTTTTTTAAATCAAGTTATGCATATTCAGTTGCGTGCTCTTTACATTACTCTTTCTACATTTACAAAGGAAAACAATTAATATCATATTTCGTATATAATGAATGTTTATTTCGAGTCTATTAGCTTTTATATGTCACAATAGAATTTAATTTAATAAGGATCTATATTTCTTTCTCTTTTTCTGGTTTATGAGGGATTTAATAATGTTATTTAAAAGTCTTTAGATAATCAATTTTTTTAGAAGTATTGTAACGAGTAAATAGTTTAATAAAGTCACTCATAAATATTATACAAATAACCGAATTCAATAAAATTTCAACATAAACTATTTTATTTTCTTTCTTGAATTAAATTATTTTTTAATCATTTTTCTAAATAAGGAATTAATTATATTATAAGAAGTAGATCGTATATTATAAAAACAATATACACCTTTGGAAATTATGATTAATGAAGTAGCTGAAGTAGGTGAAATAGTGATTAATGAAATAAAGATATAATACTTAATAAATATTGAAACAAATTAAAATATTTAATATTTTAATGCTTTTGCTTATTGCGAACAATTATTTAATAATAAATATCGCAGTCATAATAATAAAAATAAGAAAGCATAAATTTTAGCTTTAAACTAATATGAATCCAATTTTCATTTAAGATAATTAATCTAAGATAAATGAAAATATTGAGAGAGAGAGAGAGAGAGAGAGAGAGAGAGAGAGAGAGAGCGTGAGTGAGCGAGGGGAGAGGGAAATAAAGAAGCTAGAGCTTAGTGCAATGATAATAGTATATTATTTTTTTATATAGAATATTTTTATATATAAAATATTTTTTCGATAAGCTGGCAATATTGTTTCGTGTTTTAATATCCTAGTAATATTGATTTAACGAGCATTTCACTTTTATCGGCATTAGTACATTAAACCTTGGTGCAGAGTAAACGGAAAAAATTAAAAAAGAAGTAGATATTGTATAAATTTCCTTATATATTCAATTTGGTCACAGGATTAATTTTAAAAAATTTAACTACCAGACTAAACAAGTTTGCTTATTTAAGAAATGGCTAGAACTGAAATAAAATAGAAGTACTTGCAATGGCAGTATGTCAGGTGCGTTAATAATTGAGTTTCTTTACTGTTGGTTTATCCATTTATTTAATATCCATACCATATTTCATAAATAGTAATTTCTGTGCCATCAAAAGCCTTCATCAAAAGCTGTAAAATTTAAATATTGAACATCGTTTATAGATAACAACGTGTAAACAGAGTCATACCATGAGTAGAGAAAAGATATATAATTTTGTTTTGTTAAATATTGTTTAATAGAACAAATTATTTAAAAAATCTATATCTTTGATACATAACGTATATATACATCTGAATAAACTAATGGAATATCGTATAGAACATTTGATTTGTAGAATATTGTGCGAAATCAATACTCGGATATAGGTATGATTATACATATGTTTAAGATATTTTTAACATGTGATTCTTTAGAAAATGTAAATAGGAGTATACGAATTACTATATTAGTAAAAAATATACTAATATTACATTAAATACACTAGTAATTGTAAATGCTTATTTAGAATTATAAAACCAATTGTAAGTTTTTTGCGTACTAATAAACATAATAGAAATTCCAATTTTTAATCCTCAACTATTTATCGAAAGAGTAAGTTTTACAAATAAAATGTAATATGCTATTAAGATTTTAAAATGTATGTAAATAACATAACTAACTATAGTAATAAGTTTATTTTCATAAGTAATTTCTATGTAGTATCGAAATTATATACTTCGTATTCCAAAGAACTGTAAAAATACATAAAAGGCTAAACTATTTATATATATATTAATATTTATATATAATCTATAAAAGAAAAATATAATCATTCAGAGTTGATTTAGCAATATTATCAGTAACTATAAATAAATTATTGTATGTAATAGTTAAATAAAAAAAATTTAATTTTTTGATTATGTATTACTTGTACACATTTTCATCATATTTGATATATCACTAGTATTTGAATAAAAGTTATGATACATTAAAAACAAAAGATTTTGGATAAAAATTTTAGTCGGTACAAATATGTTTTTGAGTTTCGTTCTATCCACTATTAATATGTACCTATTTATTGAATTGGGGGAAGTTTTTCATTTATCCTTCGGGATTTTGGCTCTTTATATGAAAATGTATTCAAGTACTGTACTGATGTAGTAAGTTTGAAAAAATAGAGACATTGAAAAGGCCATTGTATATCATTTTTTAATTTTACTTGTGCTTCAGTTCTTTTGCGTACCCTCTTTCACTTTTTACGTGAAATACCGAGGGCGAATAGAAAACA